GCTTTCATCATCTGGAAAGACATAGTAAGGAAATGTTAAAATGTTTTTTAAATTAGAAGGTGTAACCAGGCCCATTCCTCGAAAATGGCCTCGTGTTACTCAGAATACAAATGCCTCTTGTTAATATGATATTCTTCTACCATCAGTTCCCGCCTGCCCATCAGAGCAAAATCTTTCTTTTCAATAGTTTCGATATTTCTGCGTTCAAAGTCTTAAAGAGTTGTTGTATATTAACTCCTGGAAATGTTTTCGATCCCTGCCCGAATCCCTATCTGAAGAAAAGACCCTCCTAAATAAATCGCCATAAATTAACAAGTTATTGCCAGAGTGTGTGTGTGTGTGTGTGTGTGTGTGTGTGTGTTTATGCTCTCCCTTACCAATTCATTGTGCCCCATCTAGTTCCATCTGGAATAATCTTTTATTTTCTTTCCTCTCACAACTTATCAAGCAATTGCTGCCTCCAGATACTATGTTAACTTGGGCTATGAATTATCTAATGTAAATCTCAAAATACACCACTGCATGCATAAACTCAAAGATTAAGTAAACTGCAAATTCATACAGTTAGTCAGTGGTGGAGATCACCTATTTATGCAAATCTTAATCAATTCTAAAGCTTACCTACTTGACTATTGCCTAATATTGCCTCTTTTGTCTTCAAAAATCCATCTTGAGGAAACTCTACATTCTGGAAATGTATAGCTTCTTGTACAGACCACCATTAAAGCATATATCACCCAGTATAATAATTATTGATGTATTTTTTCTGTACACCTTGAGCAATCCAAGTGTCAGTCACAACTTACAAAATGTGCTCAGTAAATATTTCTTGAATGAGTAAATGAGAGTAGATGTATTCAGAGTGTGGCATTCTACTGCGTCGAAGCTTATATGATTTTCAAAATAGTTCACAGATATACTTATGGATGAATCTTATGTAACAACAGAGATATGTAGGTAAAATCATATTGTGACAAGCTTCATCAGGGAGTTTATTTTAAACTTCGCTTTTAGAAACTCCTCTCAAAACATTATTTTTCTAATTTCCAGCCACTGAGGGATGTGCACATATACAGGGAAACAAAGCAATTATTTTTTTAAAAACCATGTGTATATATGTATCATATATATATAATATATATTACCAATAAAATCACACATGACAGCCATTTCTAAGAACTGCCTGTAACTAAGGATTACGTTTGGGGCATTCCTTGAAGGGATCAGTTCCATGTACAAGCCAGAGACATACCGAGTGTTCTAGAGACAGGCCCTGAAATACAGCAGCCACTCAAGCCTCCTGCAGCTGGTCAAGTCTAAGATTGTTTAGGAACAAACTCTTAACGTAGTTCACTCCAGATTCCGAGACCTGCCAGTCTTCACCTGAGACTCAGAGTCTATGGGTCTCTTCTCATTTGTTTACAAGTGTCAGGAGTTCCAGTAACCACTGTGTTCATATTCATGGTCATACAAACTAATGAGGCATGCAATCCTATTTAATTTAGTGTAGAGGTACAGAAAGGCATCATTCTAGTGCTTCTATAGCCATAGAAGGAGAGATCAATAATTACTAAAACTGTCACACTTCTCACTAGGGAAGATATCTCATTTATAACTAGTTAGAAAGTAACATTATGTATGGTTACTGGGGGCAAAATCTCTCTTCAATTTGAACCCTGATCTGTGCATTATAGTTCTGGCGAAAATGAAAAGTCTTTGAAAATACTGCTTGGTCTCATTATTATAGAGATATGGGGTGTCAAAAAAAACAAGAAGCATCCAGAAGAGACTAAGCAAATAGTAATAGAAGCCATTTTCAAGGCATAATTTAAATGGTGACAGGCATTTGCAAAGCAATTTGGAAGAGAGAACCTTCTTAGGAAAACCAACCATAAAAGCTCTGCACTTAAAATGAACCTGGGGCAAATGCACACACAAAGACCAAGCCTTCTCCATAAAAGTAATAAAGCTCAATTAAAGATACGATCATTTTGGAACATAACACCAAGGAACAAGAATAGGGTACGGAGGAAAGGAATGAAAAGAAAAAAATCAACTGAACTCAAAAAATGCACAAAGATAACAATGTAACTATGTGTTAATTTATTTATAACCTGCTTCAGTCGATGAAAAATTTGAGACAGACAAGACCTACTCTTAACCACATGAGGCTAAGATAGTCTTTATTTCCTGAGGGAAGAAAAAATTAACTCAATACCACAACTAATTTATATATCATGTTACTTTTTGTTGCATAAATATGCTTATGCTAACTATGTAGTTACCTATACATAATTTTCATTCTATGATGCAGGTTAAGTCATTATTAAATTATTCTTTTGTTGTTTGTATGTCCCTAAGCATTGTATATTATCAGATGTTTGGGAAAAAAATACACTGTTATAAATTATCAAAATCCCAGTGTTCGCAGTGTTCTTTTCTGCCTGGGACAACTACTCATTACATTAGCTCTAGTGGGCATTCCATAAATGTTGCTGATTATGGATATTAATCAGGGTTTTTTCTTTTCTCTTTGGTTGCCAAAAAATCAAAGAATATTAAACTCCCTCGAACAAACAAAATAAAACAAAATCTGGATAAAAACAACAAAAAGTAAGTTATTGTTTATCAGCAGGTTATTGAGACCTTTTTACAAAACCAAAGAGAGATTTGAGTAAACAAAACCTCAGAAAGGTGGAAATAAGGCATCTCCAGAGATCTCAACAACGGAGGGTCACAGAATTTCCCCACACTGTGATTCAATAAGAATGACTTCCAATTTGGTATCACTCTAGCATAAATTTAAGATTCCCAGGAAAAACAATCCAACCGGCCCAGCTGGGATCAGTCAGTCTACCCCTAAAGCCATCAGTCAGGACAGAGGCATATTCATAACCTAAACATGACCACTGGAAGCCTTGCCTATGGATCGGGGTTACTCACAGAGAAAGCACAATCATTATGGCTGTGTAACTCCTCCAGAATGCATCTGCCTCATTGGAGATGTAATTACTAAAGAAAATGGCAAAGGAAAACTATGCAGCCAGCAGCTCCCAGTTCCAGAGCAGAAGCAAGAAAAAAACACCTAGCTCCTGATGCTCTCACGGAACCACACAACTGAGCATCAGGCATGAATGTCAGCATTTCGGAGTTGTGATCTTCAGCCAGGGTCTTAAATGTAGGCATCTGTTTAGTCCTTAAAGAGGAAGAACTAACCTGGGACTCCCAGACCTTAAAGGATCCAACTCCAACGTAATATGAAGATTTATTTTTCAATAATTCAAAAGACAGAATTCTAATATTGGATAGGCTTGTAATAAGACTAGACAAAGTAAATGAAGTGCCAAATTTATTTTATTTGGAGTGGAAATTATTACTGGAGGCATGAATCAGATATTCTTACTGGTATGACACCTGGATGTGTTTGATAAAATGGTAACACTCTCTTATTTATCTTTGCTGCTTCAGCAACTGGCATAGAATCTTATACAGGTGAACTGAATTACTAAATGTACCTAGTTTGAAAACAAAATTCCTCGAAATACATATTCAATGGTACACAGTGAAGAATAAAGTATGAAAGGACCCTTGAAGGTGAGAAATGGAAACCACCCATTTAAAAAGGTAAAATAGCGTAATCATTCCTCTTCATCAAGAAATAACTTAGTAAAATGTACTAAAAAGGTAATCAACAGATTGAAGATTCATTCATTGAACCTGCACTGACAGAGCTCCTATTATGTACAGGGACTTACCCAAAGTAGGTATAATAGGGCCCTGACGAGCACATGGTCTCCTTAGAGAAACAGACTTATGAATCAGTGCTTGTAAGATAATATCAGAGATATACTGAACAGAGTGATTGATGAAAAAATAGAATTATTAACACTTGTCCTTTCTCTGGCATCAGCAGAGACCCATGTATCACATCACATTGCCTATGAGGTGAAGTAAATGAGGGGAAGGCCCAAAAGTAACTTTTTGACTTCTTTTTTTAAAAATATATTTTATTAATTTTTCACAGAGAGGAAAGGAGAGGTATAGAGAGCTAGAAACATCGATGAGAAAGAAACATTGACTAGCTTCCTCCTGCACACCCCCTACTGGGGAATGTGCCCGCAACCAAGGTACACACTCTTGACGAGAATTGAACCCAGGACCCCTCAATCTGCAGACCGATACTCTATCCACTGAGCCAAACTGGTCTTGGCACTTTCTGACTTCTTATCCTCATCACACAAAAATTATTTCAGTGACAGTACAAGCAGTTCCCAAATGATCGATTGTCATTTCTATCAGACACTGTACATCTAAGAGAATATAATACAGATCAGCCACTTTCTCCACTAACTTGCGAGCACAGTGTAGTAGGAGGAGTTCATGAAGGAGAATTAGGGGTTCTGGGATCCATTCCCAGCTTTATAAATGAGTCACTGTTCTTATTTCCCTTGCATTTAAATCTCCCACTCATAACACAGAAATAATGGCATAATACCTGTTTGTTTCTAAAGCACTTGAAAAACATTTGCTGGAAGAGTTCAAACAAAGTCAGAGACTATTATTCTACCAGGACTTGAAAATTGTCAATCTATGCACTCATCGCTATTATACAGTCAACACAACAATGACAAAAGAAAAACCATCCCTATCCTAAGGCATCTAAAATCAAGTATTACTGAATATGCAGCTATTGAGAAAAATATACATGCAAATATATTCATTTTAATGGCTCTCCAAGTCTAAATCATCAATAACCCATTCAGATAAATCCTTTGCAAGTTATCCCAAGTCCAAAAAAAATGCATAGGCTCTGTAATCAAAGATTTTTTTTTTTCCTATAATGCATGAATTTCTGAAAAGACACTCTCAAAGGGTTTACATACTCTATTCTAGAATTTCAGAGAACACTGTAGCCACTTCCACTAAGGTTATATCAAAATATATAAAGAAATCCTCTTCAACCTGGCCGGTCTTGGAATAATCAGGTTAATCACACTTACAGTACAGTGGTGGACAGGCATCCAAGCAGGTGCTTCCACTGAGCAATTCTGGGCTGGGCATTTGCCTTGGTTTTGCTGCAGATAAAGAAAAAGATGTTATGACCTATGTGTTACATGCGACAATATATACTAGCTAACATGTCTCTTATCAATGTGTTCATCACTATAGTTACAAGTACAGGAGAAAGCTTTGAGAACAACTTTGGTGCAGCGCTGCATAAAACTAGGTGTGTAATTTCTACTCTTATCAAAGCATAAGAAATTATCCTTTGCTTTTTAAAATTTTTATTTATTGATTTTAGAGATGGGGGACGGGAGAGAGAAGTGGAATGGGGGGAGGAGAGAGAGACAGAGAGAGATTTCCTGCTTCAGCCATCCAAGTACTCACTAGTTGATTCTTGGATGTGCCCTGAGCTGGGATTAAACCTGCAACCTTGCTTTGTTAGTACATTGCTCTAAATAACTGGGCTACCTGGCTAGGGCCTATCCTTTGCTTTACATATTACTCCAAGGCAGTGGTTCTTAACCTTTCTAATGCTGCGACCCTTTAATATAGTTCCTCATGTTGTGGTGACCCCCAACCACAAAATTATTTTCCTTGCTACTTCATGGTTGCCTAAGACAACTGGAAAACACAGATATTTACATTATGATTCATTCACAGTAGCAAAATTATAGTTATGAAGTAGCAACGAAAATAATTTTATAGTTGGGGGTCACCACAACATGAGGAAAAAGGGTCGCTGCATTAGAAAGGTTGAGAATCACTGCTCTAAGGATTAGGTTTTTGACACAAGCTTCCTCAGCAACATGCCTCTCAGGCCTTACAGAGACACATCTGAGAACCCTCCCAACCCAGAGCCAGAACTGGTCTCCACTCGTCTCCTCTAGACTCCCAGACAATAAGAGTGATACATGCTGGACACCTGTGAGATCACGAGTTAAGGTGTAGAAAGGCTGGTTCAATGAGCTAGTGGTGGTTTTCTCTAGGGCATCTTATAGAACCTCAGAATGCAGGGTTGTATAGAATAGATCTTAGAGGCCTTTCTTGTTATATCAAAAATGAAGGTACAAAGAAATGAAACAAGGAACACAGAGGTTTGACATTCTAAGCCATTTGCCAGGCACTTCTTTTTTACATAAGAACTTCGGCTCTAGCTAACCTATTCTTTTGTTGTAACTCCTATAAATTTACTCTAATTGGCCTTTTAGAAGGAATGAAGTGATTCCTTTCAACCAGCAATACTGCTCCCTCCCTGTAATAATAAGAACTTATTAGTGCTAAAATGGGAGAAGGTGATTCTAGTAAAACACCTTCTTTATCTTTATATTTTTATTAAATTATTTATTGTTTCAAGTATTACATAAGTATCCTATTTCCCCCATTGAACTCCCCAGGCTGTTACCACCCTCCCACCCCCCAGCTCATGTCCTCACCCACCATCTATGTCCTTGGATTTTACTTATATGAATGCATACAAGTCCTTTGGTTAATCTCCTACCCATCCCCCTGCCCCTGCCTTCCCTCTGAGATTGAACAGTCTGTTCATTGCTTCTATATCTCTGGATATATTTTAATATATATTTTATTAATTTTTTACAGAGAGGGAGAGGGACAGAGAGTTAGAAATATCAATGAGAGAGAAACATGATCAGCACACTGGGGATGTGCCTACAAACAAGGTACATGGCCTTGACCGGAATCGAACCTGGGACATTTCAGTCCACAGGCTGATGCTCTATCCACTGAGCCAAACCGGTTAGGACTGGATCTATTTTTGTTCATCAGTTTATGTTTTTCTTTACATTCCACAAATGAGTGAGATCATGTGATATTTATCTTTCTCCAATTGGTTTATTTTGCTTAGCATAATGATCTCCAGGTCCATTCATACTGTTGCAAATGGTAAGAATTCCTTCTTCTTTACAACAGTGTACTATTCCATTATGTAGATGTATCACAGTTTTCTAATTCAGTCATCTGCTGATGGGAACTTAGGTTGTTTCCAAATCTTACCTATTGTAAATTGTGCTGCTATGAACATAGGGGTGTATATATATATATATATCCTTTCTGATTCATGTCTCTGATTTCTTGGGATATAGTCCTAGAAGTGGGATTACTAGGTCAAATGGAAGTTAATTTTTAATTTTTTGAGGAAACTCCATACTGTCTTCCATAGTGGCTGCACCAGTCTGCATTCCCACCAACACTGCAAGAGGGTTCCTTTTTCTCCACATTCTCACTAGCACTTGTCATTTGTTGATAGCCATTCTGAGATGATATCTCACTGTTGTTTTAATCTCTCAGATGATTAGTGACTTTGAGCGTGTATATATATATATATATATATATATATATATATATATATATCTAAGTGACCAGACAACTGGCCAGTAACTATGATACACACTGACCACCAAGGGGAAGATGCTTAATGCAGGAGCTGCCCCCTGATGGTGGTCAGTGTGCTCCCACAGTGGGAACGGGAACAACACTCAGATGACCAACAGGCATAGATTCCAGGCTCAAGGCTGGCAAGTGACGCTACAGCCTTTGACCCTCTCCCGCCTTCGTAGCAGCACTATCGTGCAGCAGCGGCAGCACACACAGCAGAGCCATGATGAGCAGGAGCAGTGCATCCCCCAGGGCAGGCGCAGGCTCCTCCCCGGGGTACTACTACATTCCTATGACCGTGCACATGGGGCTGAAACCAGCAGTCGCACATCCTCTGAGGGGTCCTGTATTGCAAGAGGGCTCAGGCCAGGCTGAGGGACAACATGGGTACAAGGTTCTGTGGACCGAGCCTCTAGTGTTTTCATATGGCTCTTGGCCTTTGGATGTCCTCTTTCAAAAGGTGTCTATTTAGTTCCTTTGCCCATTTTTTAAAAATATATTTTATTGATTTTTTACAGAGAGGAAGGGAGAGAGGGATAGAGAGTTAGAAACATCGATGAGAGAGAATCATCGACCAGCTGCCTCCTGCACACTCCCCACTGGAGAATCCTCAACTGCTGCCTCCTGCTCGCAACCAAGGTACATGCCCTTGACCGGAATTGAACCTGGGACCCTTGAGTCCGCAGGCTGATGCTCTATCCACTAAGCCAAACCGGTTTCAGCTTTGCCCATTTTTTAATTGGATTATTTACCTTCTTTTTATTAAGTTGTATGAGTTCCCTATAAATTTTGGCGATTAAACCTTTATTAGATATAACATTGGCAAATATATATGTTCTCCCATGCAGTGGGCTCTCTTGGCTTATTGATGGTTTCTTTGCTGTGCATAAGGTATTTCTTTCTTTCTTTCTTTCTTTCTTTCTTTCTTTCTTTCTTTCTTTCTTTCTTTCTCTCTTTCTTTCTTTCTTTATTTATTTACAGAAAGATATGGATATGTATGTTGCTTCAGTTTTGGGGCCCCAATGAAATTGGCCTAACATACACAAAGTTGAAGGTGCCTCATCCCTCCCAGAAGAGGCTAAGTATGGTTGTTGGACATACACCTTGTTTATAAAATGCAGTATTTATAATTCTGTGTTACCCACCCACATTTCCTCCTTTACATAGTTTCTTTTTTTTCTTTAACAAATCTTTATTGTTCAGATTATTACAATTGTTTCTCTTCTCCCCCCCTCCCATAGCTCCCCTTCACCCTGTTTCCACCCCAGCCTCTGCCCTTACCTCCCTCCCACTGTTTTCATCCATAGGTGTATGATTTTTGTCCAGTCTCTTCCTGCATCCCCCACATCTCTGCCCACCCCACCCCACCCCTGCCTGAGAATTGTCAGTCCACTCCCTTTCCATGCCCCTGGTTCTATTATATTCACCAATTTATTCTGTTTATCAGATTTTTTATTCACTTGATTTTTAGATTCACTTGTTGATAGAATGTATTTGTTGTTCATAATTGTTATCTTTACCTTTTCTTCTTCTACCTCTTCTTAAAGAATACCTTTCAGCATTTCATATAATCCTGGTTTGGCACTGATGAACTCATTTAGCTTTTTCTTATCTGTAAAGCTTTTATCTGACCTTCAATTCTGAATGATAGCTTTGCTGGGTGGAGTAATCTTGGTTATAGGTTCTTGCTATTCATCACATTGAATATTTCATCTGGCCTGCATAGTTTCTGTTGAGCAATCAGCTGACAGTCCTATGGGTGCTGCCTTGTGGGTAATTTCTCTTCTTGCTTTTAAGATTCTCTGTTTTTTGCTCTTGGCATTTTAATTATGATGTGTCTTAGTGTGGTCCTCTTTGGATTCTTTTGTTTGGGGTTCTATGAACTTCTTGGACTTATAAGTATATTTTTTTTCACCAGGTAGGGGAAGTTTTCTGTCATTATTTCTTCAAATAGGTTTTCAGGATCTTTCTCTCTCTCTTCTTCTGGCACCCCCATAATTCTGATGTTGGTATGCTTGAAGTTGTCCCAGAGGCTCCTTATACTATCTTCATATTTTTGGATTCCTTTTGCTTTTTGCTTTTCTGGTTGGGTGTTTTTTGCTTCTTTGTATTTCAAATCTTTAACTTAATTCTTGTGATCATCTAGTCTGCTATTAGATCTCTGTAAATTATTTTTATTTCGGTAAGTGTATGCTTAATTTTTAGTTGGTCCTTTATTATATCCTCAATGGTCTCTCTAAATTTATCAGCCTTTTCTAGAAAATTCTTGAAAAACCTTATAACCGTGGTTTTGTACTTTATATCCAGTCATGTGCTTTCCTCCATTTTTTTTCATTTGTGACCTGTTTCTTTGTCTCCAGATTTTGGCTGCTTCCCTGTGTTGGATAGAGTGGCTTTGTGTGCTAGGTGTCCTATAGGGCCCAGTGGCTCAACCTCCCCAGTTACCTGAGGTGGATACTCTTGGTGAACCCCTTTGTGGGCTGTGTGCACAGTCTTGTTGTAGTTCAGCCTTGATTGTAATTGGTATAACTGGGAGGAATTGACCTCCAGGCCAATTGGCTGTGAAGATCAGCTGTGACTACAATGAGAGAACTTCTGTGTTGGAGACACCCTTATGTAACAAGACTTGCTTCAGTGGAGCTTTGGTGCTGAGTCTGCCCCCTGAGTGTGTCCCTTA